GGGGGGGGGGGGGGGGGGGGGGGGGGGGGGGGGGGGGGGGGGGGGGGCATGTGTGCCTTCAGCCCGGCCTAAACAGCAGCACATGCACTGCTGTACGTAGCCCACCCCAACCGAAAAATGCAAAGCCCCCACCGCTGTCGGTTCGCAACACGGCATGTAGACCACACAATGCACTTCACCCAGCCGGCCCGTAACGAACGGGGCGCACAACTCACCGCGCTTACGGGGTTGTCGATCCCGCCTCGCTGCTGCTCCTCCTCCCTAGCGCCGAACCAAATAGCGGCAGCACTGCCGTTGCCTTCAGCGCCGTCCTGCTGCTGCCCTTCGGTTCCCGGGCTGCTCGCGGTCGTCTTGCTGGAGGAAAGGTACCCGATCTTGAGGGCGTAGAATGAGCGGTTCTGGAAGTACAGGCCGCAGAGGTGCTCCGTAAGCCAGCGCCGCCAGTCCAGACCAAGCTTCCCTTGGACAAACCTGGTTGGCACACACGCAAACGCATACATAGCAGTAAAGACGGTCGACAAATCAAGAGCGCAGATAACGAAGCGTGAATCGTACCACTGTCGGAAGTTCCTTGTGCAAGTTTGTTCTTACGGTAGCGGTTCTCCACAGGGTTCCTCGGCTTGAGTTTTCACCCCAGAGCCCACAACGAAACGTGAAGGACGCCGTGTGCATCTGCCTCTCGAAAAAAAACAAGGCGACGTGCTACAATGTTCACTTCGCAATGTGATACAGCAGTACGTGCTCCTCACGTTGGATCCCCGTGATAACACGCAAGAGAACATGCTGGAGTGTTAGCGGGGGCACCGGGGGCATCTTGCACTTGTACGGCACGCGCCAATCTACAGGCGATCCGACTTGATCCCGAACAATGTGCCCGTCTTTTGACATGTAACAAGTTCTTAGCTACCCGTAGGTTGCAAGAGATACTACACCCTTTGGGGTGCCAAAGTTATCACACGGGTTGTGGTGTTGTGGTATTCTGTAGGGGGGTGCGATATCTCAAGTCGCCCGTGCGATGAAGTGCGCTCAAAGTAGGAACCCACGTTCAGGGCGTGATCAACGGGGTATCACAAAAGGGGTTCGCAGTAGATTCTGCTGTGCGGGCCTCAGCAGTACATGTGGTGTCGTGCGCGACTGCTGAGGGAGTCGTCTCGGCAGGGATCAGATGTTCCCCCGCGGCGGGTTGAAACATTAACAATACTGAGCGCGGAGCCGCCGTTGGAGTCTGACCCACTACAGAACGGCGGGGTTTGTCAACTGCACCCCCCCCACCATATTCTCAGGCCTCCATGGCTTGCGCCCAGGTTGCTTCGCCTGTATGCTTGCAATCACGTGTTGAATCCTTGTAACACTGTGTTACAAGGGGGAGTCAGATATGTGCGGCTCAACCTTAGGGGGTGTGGTATCTCACGTCATTGTGTGAACATATGACGTTCTTCTTCAATTTTCTTGGGGCGATAATGAGTAGCACACGGGGTGTGGTATTGTATAACTTTTCGAAGGCGATGTGGCATCGCATGTAATAAGTGTGATATCTTATGCAACCTACGGTACCCTGATCACAGACGTACTTTGAGAGGGCAAAGAGGGGCGCCGCAGCCAGGAGGATGACGACGTAGCGCCGAGTGCCGCGGTAGAACCCATCCTGGTCCTTATTGCTCATGGCTGTCGAGAAGTCCCGCTGTCACGCCGTGATCAGCACCGAGATGGAGAAAGGAAGACCATGCTCGGTAAGCGAGAGTAGACCAGTCATGTGAAAAGGCGCTCAGCACAGCTGCGGCCCGAGACCAGGCGGTCGTTTGTGTCTGACACACTGCGGGATTTCAAACCTCACAGCAGCTTGCTGTACATAGATATTACGAGAAGCAGAGCAGACTTCAAACAGGGGAATACACAAGGAATCCGAGTGCAGCAACAGGGCATCGTCACCCAGCAGCCCAAAGTGGAGGCGGTCAACATCTTCCTACCCTCCCCCCCTCGTCCCTCTCCGTCCAGCGTTTGGGGAGCAGGGTTGCGAGTGACGCGGTGCGTAATGCGTCACGCATGGATGTTCCTGGAGCTGCAACTCGGTCCCACTGGTCCCACCGCCCCCTTCCACCCACGGCAGCATCACGACCAATACATCACACCATACCATTTCGCACCTGGGTGTAGCTGAAGGCTACCAGCACCCCACTCTCGAGGACGAGCAGCGCCAACATCAGCACCAACCAGCCCCATGCCGTCTTTCGATCCTCGTTTACTGTGAAGAATGGGCGCAAGACTTTCCAAAACTTGAGGCGAATCGGGGTTCTGCCATTCTTCTGGGCTGCGTCTGCGATGAGCTTGCCCATCCTTGTACCTGCAGGCTTTGCAAATAGAACAGCCCTCGGGTCCTTCAAGTGCAACTGGGGGCTCTTAGCTCTGAGCTCCCGCCTGCGGTGTGTTATTGTGTAGCCAGCTGTGAGTCCTCCAGAAAAAAAGAGAAAATATGTCGCGCGTGGGTTTGTACAGACGTGGAAGGATGTATGTAACGCTCGCGATGACCACTTCCTTGGTAATATCTCTGTGCGGGCCCCTTCGGAGCTGGCACCAATGAAATCTTATTGAGCTCGCAAAGAAGAGGGTCGGGAGGGGGGCAGGAGAGAAGCGGGCCTTTCATCAACCATCAGATTCTCCCCGTGCACCCCCGGTTGCTTGTCGTTCTCGAGTCGGCGATGGGAGAAGAAAAGGAAGTTCCACCTCCCGGGTGTCGGCCGATATGGATCCAGATGAAGAACTACGACTTGTACCAGCTACGGGAGGAGGGGGCTGAGGCGGGCAACATGACCGCCCTAAAGCAGTACACCCTTTTGGATCGGGCACGGCTGCTTGAAGAGGTCGGAAAGTTTGGCTTCATGTGTGACTGGAACGACTTCAAGGTGGGTATGCGTATTCGCATTTCGTTTGTCTTTGTCTCCGTAGACTACGTGGTGCTTCTATGTACTGCTGTAGACAGTACTACTGCTGACAGTTGTATTACATAGTATCGGCACCACGGAGGCCGTCGCAAGATGATACGAAGTGTTATGGCCTTGTGAAGTCTCTGTACAGGTGCAGAACGTTTCAGCTCCCGTCACTCATCATCATCAGACCGTGCACGATCTGAAAAATCTGTGAACGGGCTGTGCACCACTAGTCTGAGAGGCAGAGAGCTGGCACCCCCCCCGTTGACCGACTTTCAAAGCTTGATTGCTCCACAAGAAAGTGGGTGCGGAAAAAGCCGATACGTCAATGGGAAGCCCTCGATGAGATGTTTCCGACACCACCATTTTTGGTGTGACGAAGCTTGGTTGTAGAGTAGTCAAGTTGTGAACATCGGTCTGCTTTACGGGGGTGCCATCTCTCCGCCTCCAGCGTTCGGCCCAGCACGGTGTATTTTGAAGGGATACTTGACGAACTGGCGATAGCAATGCGGAACGCCGAAACTACACACTTGAAGACTACATAGACAATCGACATAGATGCTGCAAGTTGAGAATTCCTCGCGTAGCACGCATTCTAGACTTTTCGCAAGCACGAATGACCGTGATTGCGGATGTACACGCGGCGAGGAGAGGTCTTCGGCGTTGATATGCAGGCTACCAGTAAGATTTTGGCAATCGGAGAGCTGCAGGCTGTCACGACTTCACGTTGTTTGGTTCTGAGATTTTGCTCAGTGACTTGGGACCCTTCGGTGTTCCTTCCACTCATGTGCTCCGCCTCAAACTTGCATGCTCGCGTTTCATCACTAGTCCGCGGAAACGGAAAGTGCATGTATCCAAAGGTTCAGCGTCCACGGTAACTTCGGTAAATCACCATCGATACAGGGTAGAACTCCACTCTTGCGGTGCTGCCACCATTCGGCCGAACCACATAATCTTTGTCCAGGGTACATGCAATCGTCACGACGACGGACGGTTTCTCTGAAACAAACTTTTCTGAGCAGAACCAGGTGATATCCGCTAGTCTACTCTTTTACGTGCCGATCTGCTCTCGCATCTTTGAGTGCCAAGTCTAGAATGCTCTCACGTCGCCCCACGAACACAATATTCAGGCCGACCTAGAGGCGTGTCCGACGGAACAAATTTTGCTGGTGGCAGACCCAAACAAAATGTACGGGGAGCAGTGGTACTTTACGTTCACGGCAGAAGCATTCGAGACCCAGCTCAAGCTACAAACGGCGGAGGCGGAAGCGGAGAAAGCGCGTTTAGAAGCGGAGGCAGAGGTGAGATATCTCGGTGAGATTCAGGCCATGCACCTATCATCTTGAGCCGGGAGATCAGTGTACAACCACCAGCGGAAGCCGGGTTACTCACCTCAAGTACCACATAGCTCCGGCGTTCTTTTGCAGGAGCTCCTCTCACAGGGTATTGCAAACCCCTCCTTCCCTCCTCCGGTACCATGCGCAATATTTTGTGATACACCAAAACCGTCTCGTTTCATGCCGCCGGGTACCGATATCCACAAACCCTGAAATGAGACGCTTACAGGCGGCGCGGCTGGCCGAGGAAGAAGCGAATCGCAAACCGGTGTACGAAGACAAGCCGATCATCGCCAAAGGTTGGAAATCGGAAACTGCAGCAGATACAGCTCGGGAGGTGTGTTCGATCACGAAGTATACCCTCCATTCAACACCAGAATAATCTTAAACATGTGGGTGCTCTTGACGGGATTGAGCCCCCTTTGCCCAGATATCCGTGCAAGGCCGCAACAGCTAGCTGGTAGATGGGCAACAACACGCTCTCCTCTTGTACGATGTGCCTACGAGGGGGGACGAAGATCTCCGGTGACATCGAGGGCACTCCCGTAGTGCGCACGTCTGGCATTGCAGCAAATGAGACACTTGTGATTGCTACGGAGTTGAAGAAACTGCTTGTCGGTTGCACTTGTCTACCCGCGAGCACTGGCTTCGATGCAAACAACGATGCTTAGATTGTCACCGGTGAGAGTCTCCCCATGATGCATCGTCGGTTTCATATTCGACCGGTCGTTGGCTTGATGTCAAGGTGGAGAGTTTGACGATAAGGCCGGAGCGACCGCTTGTGGTCATGTCCATGACCCGTCCTAGACGGAGCTTTGGCCTGCCTTGCAAGCTCGTGGACAGGGATGCATACGACTGGCTTACGGACGACTACATGGCCAAAGTGAGGGAGGGAAGGGCCCAGGGGAATGTACGGTGCCGCTTGCTTTCATACATTGCCCGCAGTGAATGCCACTGACATGGAAGGGGCGAGGGTATTTGGCCTTGCACACGAACGGAATTACTAATGCGATATTGTCCCCAATAACCACATAACTGTCAACCGGGAGAGTGCACGACCTCTGGTATTTAGGCGAGAGGAAAGGAAGGAGTGAAGGGACTCGCCATGCGCAACAAGCTCGGAAAAATAACTGGGTACCCTGTTAGAGCCAGTTCTGTCGATGAGGGGGGGCTGTGTACTTATCGCGAACACAGCTTTGTAGTCCCTGTAGTGGTGTTTTTGGCCGTCGTAAACAGGACGACAAGTCCACAATACATCCCGTGTGCCACTCTGCCCCCATCGTTCCCCCCTAAATGGTGTTCGCATCAATGAACAGTTGCAGCCTGGAACTCAAGAATCAGTTCGAGGTCAAATTAGTGCTTACATTAATGTCTCCAACTTCCTCATACTTCATGGGCGGTTTCCCGCTGATAATGTCCGGTTGGTGGTTCTGTGGCTAGTACAGCCGCTTGTGATTTTTTTTTTTCATACGGGCTTTACCCGGACAAACACCTACCAAACACGTGCTCCCCATTTCTACCTTAACCTGTATCGACCCTGTATTCTTCCCGTTGTCGCGCACCTCCATACCGCTCGGTCTGAACCTTCAACGACGACGCGCCGACATCCAGATGGGTATTCGCAAGTACCTTGCTACCGGCTTCACCGCCTTCGACCCCACCAACCCCGACCGAAAACTGATGGATTCACCCTGTCAAGCCGCGGCCGAGAGCGCCCCGGCCTCATCGCAGACCACGTGGTTCCGGAGCGTGAACGCCTCTGTGCAATACTCCACCATGCACCTTGAGCAACAAGAGGTGCTGCCGTTGTTTCTGTGTCGTCTTGACTGCCGTGGAAAACGCCCGTTCTTCGTTCGATCCCAGTATCAATTTTCCACCCTTCCTCTGTTGTTCGTACAGCAATAGCCGCTCATGCCTCACCGGAAGCTACGATACGAACGGTTGGCGCAGTTATTTGTCGTCAATGCGTGCCCCTTACAATCAGCGGAAGTATTCAAGGGCCAGGTGGTGTTAGCATGATAGATCTACTTTCTCCTTTCCGGGTCCAATGGGAGGTGACTCATCGATAACCCTAGACACCACGGGTCCCTGCTTGTCACCATGAACAAACGTGCACAGGCGGCTAGCATTATGTCAAGCGAGGCCATGGTGTCGTTCCTCCGCAAGGTGGCACCGGGAGTCGAGCAGTCTCTACAACAGAACGAGACTGTCGATATCTTCCAGGCAAGTTCCTACCGTAACACGGGACTTCGAGCGGAACCGTGAACAAGAAAATGGCGAACCGTTAATACCTTTGATGTGACGGGCCAGATTCGCGAACCATGTCGACGTCGAAGAACGGGTTGTTCGCGTATTTGCCCGAAGTCCAATGTTAAAGTCTACTTATTGCTGTCCTTGCTACAACGTCACAGGATGCCTTCAACGGCATTGGCGAAGACGACGCTCCCCTGACCAAGACCAATGAAAACGAGGACGAACTGAAAGAGCTGCGCACCTTCACGGACCTTGTACACTCAAAGAACAAGGTAATTGTGAAGTTCATCGTGGCATG